AGCGTAGGAAAAAAGTAAGCGTTAGCCAAAGCGGTTTAATACCGCTACGGAAGCGCACCGCCAAAAAGGCGGAAACGCAGGCATAAGGTTTTTCTTTTTTAGGCCCAACCCAAAGGTTTTCCCCCATTTGCATGTACTTAGCCGCAGCACTAAGGTTTTTTCCATAAATATAACAGCGTATAAATACAACAATATTTGTAAAAGGGTTTTCGGAATACGAAAAATGGGCTTAAGCTAAAAGCATCGTTATCGAAACTTTACCGTTATACATTTACGAACCCAACGGGATAATTAAGCGCACGGAATAAAACGTTATTACAAAAGGGATACGCATGCGCAAAAGCGCAAAATTTTTTAAATATTTATGGCCGAAAACGGTTTACGCTGCCGTTTGGCTAAAAAATATAAATCCTTTACCGTTAAAAAGCATGCGCGCTTTTAAAAATATCTTTTTAAATTGGTTTTAAAAGTAATTTCGGCATTACGCCCCGGAACTTTTTACGGATTTAACAACCAATTTAAAACCGGATTGGAACGGCATTTACGTTTACGGGTGCAAAATTTATCCTTTAAACGTAAAAAAGTCCCATAACGCGGATTTTAAGCATTTTAAAATTAATTTTCGTACCGGGGTTAAATATTTAATAAATTACCAAACCTTTAACATTTACCGGATTTGGGTCCCGTTAAAAAAAAAAGTAATAATTACAAAAAACGTTAAATTTAATAAAAAAAGCTTTTTTAAAAGCAAGCAAAAAAAGGACCCAATCGATATAATTATTTACAATTTGCTGGTTAAATATAACGAAACGGAAAACCCATTTGCAACCCAAAAAGGAATTGTTAATGCGCTGGGGCTTTTTTAACCGGAAAAGCTTTAAATACCTATTTTCGCTACCGAACATTAAGGTTAAAAATCGGGGGTAAAAAAGCCAGGTCCTATCGTAACCATAAAAGTTAAAGCCGCAAAGGATTCGGCTAACAAACCGGATTTAAACGCGTACAAATTTTTAATTCCAAATGCTTTAAAAAATGGCTATAAAGCAAAGCAAATGCGTAATACGAGCTTTTTACGTATGGGCAATTCGTATTACGGCTTTATACGGCCCGGGAAAAGCGATAGCTTTCCGCCGGTAAAGGGTAAAAGTAACGACGAGCCCGAAAAACGACCTTTAAAACCGTTAAAGTTTGCTTTACTTTATAAAGCAACAAACCGGTCCTTACTTACTTTAGGACCGGATATGCTAATTGCAATTACAAGCAGCACTTTTAAAGCGCTTTTAATTGCGATACCAAAAGCGTTTAAAGCTTTTAAAGGTTTGTTTAAAGCAAACCCAAACGAGCAAAAAACGCCGCTTTCCCTTTTTCCTCCGGTTAAAAAGGGCAAAGGCCGACCCCGCAAAGGGACGGGCCTTTTGCTTTCGCCCAAAACCTTTTTTTTTAATGCGCTTTTACCGGATTTGCCGATAATTACGTCCAAAGCAATCCGCGCCGCAACGCGTACGGCCGCAAAAAAAAAAAAGGAAAAAAAAAAAAAAAAAAGGAAAGCAAGCAATGCAATAACTTTAATAACGCCATTTTTTATTACGGTTTAACGATAGCGTTTAACGCTTTTAAACCGGAAATTAAAAACGTTGCTTTTAAAACAAGCTTAATAAACGAAAATTAACAAGCTTTTTTTAATACGTATTTGTTTAATTAACAAACGGCAATTAAAAAAAATAATTTTGGCCATTGCCCGGTTTACGAAATAATTGCAATTGCCGTAACGAAAATATCGAAACGCAATAACTTTTAAAAAAACAAACGATTATACCGAAACGAATTACAATAAATTTTAAAGTTTTAGCAAAAGCTTAATACGCACCCGCATAAAAAAGAATTTAAACAATTTGCTTTCGGGAAAATTAATAAATTATTAAAAAAAAAGTTTGGGAAAAAATTCCGAAAAATTTATTTAGTAGCAAAACCATTAACATTATTTAAATATTTATTTATAAATTTAACGAAAACGGTTACGTTACGAATTATAAATTCCGCGCGGTAATTAAAAATAATTAATAACCCAACGGTTTGGAAAAAATTTACGTTGCTACGCTTGCAACCAAAAGCTTTAAAATTATAATAGCAATTATAGCTTATTTCGATTTCGAAACGCATTAAATTAACGTTAACAAAGCTTTTTTTTACGCAAAAATTAGCAATAATTATATACCCGTTTACGTAAAGTTTTTTTTTGGGTATTACCGAAAAAAGTTTGTAACCCGGTTTAAAAAAGCTTTGTACGGGTTACGAAATTTACCGAAATTGTAATATTTAATTTTCGAAAAAACCTTTAAAAAGCTAAAATTTACCCCGTTAACGGAAAAGCTTTATTTATTTATAAGCATAAAACGTAAAGTTTTCCTTTTTTTATACATTAACGATATAATTATCCTTAACCGTGCTACGCATTTAAAAATGGCAACGAAAATGTTAAACGGTTTTAAAAAAAAGTACAAAATAAAAAAAAACCATTTAAAATTTTTTTCGGGGTTTAAATCGTAAAGGACAAAAAGGTACGAACAATAACCTTGCATTATAACTTTTACATTAATAAAATCGTTAATACTTTTAATTTTAAAAACAAAAGCGTAAAGCGTTCCTTTTTGCCCAGCCAAACGCTTAAAAAAAATTTGGGGGTAGCAATACCCGCCGAAGTCCTGGCTATGCAAAAAAAAATCGGGTTTATACTTTATACGGCCATTACTATCCGCCCAAACGTTGCTTTTGCAAGCGCAAAACTTTCCAAATATTTTACAAACCCAAATAAAAAGCACTTAAAAGCGGCAAACCATACCTTTTTATACTTAAAAGGGTTAAAATTTTATTGTATCCGGTTAAAAAACGTTTTAAAGTTTAATTACTTGCTTTTCGTTTTAAACGCTTCTTTCGCTAACAACAAAAAAACGAAAAGGTCGTTTAAAAAATACGTTATGTTTTTATTCGGAAAGCCCGTAGCGTAAAAAGCAAAAAAACAAGCTACCGTTACAACATCCACTACAAAAACAAAGCTTTTAACGTTTATAAAGTTCGGAAAAAAAATTATCGCTATGCAAAGGCTTTTCCGAAACCTGCGCCTGGAAATTAATACTTTTTAAAAGCTTTGCTATAATAACATACAAACGATCCAATTAGTAATCGAAAAAAGCACCCGCATTAATACGGCTTTAAAGCACGTGGATATTATAAACATATAGCTACGCTAAAAATACCAAAAAGGAACGTTTAACGTGGTATATTTTAAAACCGCTTTTATACCAACAAACGGGCTTACCAAAAACCTTCCGCTTTACAAATTTAAAACATTTAAAGCTATTTTAAAATTGCATAATTTTTTTAAAAACGGGTCGGCAAATTTAATACGCAACCAAAAACTTCGAAGCAAATACCAAAAACGTATAACGTTTGCATAAAAGTACAACGCAAATTCCTTTTTTATTAATAAGCATAAAGTATGCCGGCTTTAAACAACAAAACGGTATTTAATTATAACGCGTGCAGCTTTTAAAAGCGTTGCACCTTTTTTTTATCCATTTTTCCTTTTCATTTTAACCTTAGCCCTTACCCATTATTTAATAAATAAAAGCATTTTTATAAAAAAAATAGCCCCGAATTATTGCGGTTTTAATGCTATTTTTTTAATTTTTTTCGTTATTATTACCATTTTTCCTTTTTTTGGGGTTAGGCTACGAAAAGCAGGATTATTTCGACGGGAAGCTTTTTTATTCCTTTTTTTGGCCTTATCCTTTTGCTTGCTGCCCGGTTTCGGGTAAAATTCGAAAAAATGGTTTACCATTTTTTTAAATTTTTTAATTTTAAAACGAAAGCTACCCAAAAGCTTTTTTTGGAATAAAGCAATTGCAATGCGCAATTAAAGCAAAAAGGGGAAAGGGTTGCAACGGTAATTGCTTTAAGCATATTAAATACACCGTAAAATACGACCGTTCCGAAAAAAACGCGCTATAAGCTTATTGCTGCAAAGGCCCCGGAACTTTATTAAAAAGCTTTTGGTGCATTTATTACATAAAACCGCGCGGAAAGTGGTATTATCGGGAAAGCTAATTAAAACGTTCCCGTTAAAGGAAAATCGACGGTTTCGTTAAAAAGAAAGGCCAAATAGCATTTTTTTTAAGGATTAAAACGGAAAAAAAGGGGTAGTTAGCATAAAACCCGCGAAAACGGCTGGGAACGAATTAATTTAATTATTTACCCTTATTTTTTTACCCGCTTTGCGCTTTCGGGTATCGGAAAAAACAACGGGCTTATCGTTATTATCGTTATTTTTTTAAACAAACCGATTAACGAATTTATCGAAATTAAAATTAATTTTAATCGTTTAACGAATAAGCCAATTGGGCCTAAAACTTTTGCTTGGTTTAGCCGGAGCTTAAAAAGCACCGGTTAAGTTGGGTTGGGGATTAAAATAAAGGGTGCGAAAAATAACAAAAATAACCAAAAGTTCGAAAACGGTTACGGCAATATTAATCGGGGTCCAGGTTAAAAAACGGCGCAAGGCTTTTATCCGTTTAGCGTAACGAACCCAATTAATTTTAACCCGTTTAGCGTTTTCGGCAAACGCACGCGCTTTTATCGCTTTAATCGTTTGGGCGTTATTTTAAGCCTTTTTGCGGGCAATTTGTTGCTCCCGCGCGTTTTTTATATCCCGTTGCTTATCCTTTTCCGCGGAAAATTTACTTTTCCTTTGCTTATCCTTTTTGGCTTATTAAGTTTTTTTCCTTTTTTTAAACAATGCGTTTTCCGTTTGCTTAGCTTTAATTGCTAAAGCAATTATAACCGCTTGCAAATCCGCATTATACGCGTACAAAACGAAATTAGCAAAAAAACGATAAATTGGTAAAAAAGCAAAAAGCTATAATTTATTTTTTTTGGGCTTAAACCCGGTTAAATTCTTTACGTTTAGCGCGCTTTTAAACGGTTGCACGTATTGTTTTATTACCGGCAATACCCATTTTTCAGCCAATTTGTTAGCATTGTACAACGCTTTTAAAATATTACGCCGCCGCGTAAAGCATTTACGATTGCTTGCTTTTGCTTTTGCAAAGATTTTTATATTAACAAAGGCTTAAATAATAAAAACGAAAGCGTAAAAACTTACGGATTGGTAAAAAAATGGTGGTAAAAAGGAAAAAAAGAAAGGCCGGAACGAAATGGGAAAAAAAAAGGTTTTAACTTGTTACGCTTACCTTTTCCCGGTAATGGCTAAAACATTTATTTCGTTACCTTTTATAGCTAAAGCATTTGCTTCGTTGCTTTTAGTAACGGGGAGCGCTTGCTTCGTTACTTTTTAAAGCTAATGCGCTTTTACGGTTACCTTTTAAAAGCGGAAAACGCTTGCTTCGTTACTTTTCGAAGCTAATGCGCTTTTACAATTAACCTTTAAAAGCGCGGTAAGCTTTTAAATCTTACGCCATTAACATAACAACCAATTTCCCTTTGTTTTATTTACAAGCAACCCAAAAAATTTGCTTGGGGGGTATATTACAAAATAAACAGTATATACTATCGTAAAAAAGCTTTAAGCATAAATATTAAATACTTAAAGCATTGGAAAAGCGATCCCCTTGCTTGGAAGCGTATAACGCTTTTAAGCGTTAAAAAGGAAGCTTAGTAAGCAAGGAGGACAGGGAGTTACGTGTATATAAAGGGCAAAGGCCCTTACGGGACCCTGCACTTTAAATCCTTTCCTCCTTAAAGCATATTAACCGGAATAGCCTTACACCGTGCCTATCCCTTTTACCTGCAACATAACCCTTTTTAATTACGGCGGGTAAGCGTATTATTCCGCAAACCTTTAAAAGCGGCACAAAAATTGCAAACGTTGGTATCGTTTTTAATTTAGCGCATAAATTAAATAAATTAAATAATTTTGTTAAATTTAAGTAAGCGTTGCATTTCGCTATTTTAAAAAAGGTGCGGAAATTAAGCTTAAAAAATACAAAGCTTTTTGCATAACGGGAAGCAATTGGAAAAAGTTTTTTATTAATACGAAATTGCGGTTACTAAATTTTTTTTTAGCTTTTTAAAAATTTAATGCATGCAGCAATTAATAAAGTTCAAAGTAACAATATTTATTATTAATTTTTTATTTAAAAAAATGTACTTACCGGTTTGTATGCCGTTGCGGAAGCTTGAGCAAAGCTTAACGTTATTAAAAAAAGCAACAATATCGTTACGAAAACGGATGTAATTAAGCAAACGTGCGGCTATGCCTTAAATAAAAATTTCGAAACGATTTTAAAAAAAAGCCGGAAATACGTTAACGCAACCGTTCCGAAAAAAATAATTTAAAATGTTAATTATAAAAACGATTCCGGCACAAATATTGGAAATACCAAAATCGCGTTAAGCTATAATGTTTGGGTTATTTGCGGGGTAGCGGGGAAAAGCAGGAATGTTATTTAATAAATACGCTTTACAAACGGTTTTAAATGCAGCGTAAGCGTTACGTTCGTATTGGAAAAGTTATTTTTTTTTAATTTTATCAGGGTTTTAAAGTTTTAATAAAATATTAAAAACGGAAAAAATACAACGAAAACCGTTCGGAAAATGCAAAAAAACTTATAATTTTGGGTTTGGCTAAAAGTTAAACGCTTAAACGTAATTTTTTTTGCGGTTAATAAAGTTATTTTTAACGTTAAAAGCGCGGTTTACGAAAGCAAGCTTTTCCGCGGCGTTAAGCATACGTTAGCCCGATTTAAATACCTTTTTACCGGAAATAAAAATACATTAGCCATTTTTGCTAGCTTTTTTTTTGTATAGCAATATACGCATTTTTTAAATTTGGAATTTAAACCAAAGCATTTTATTAACGGTATATTTAAAATAAAGCGATTAAAAAAACGGGTAAAAAAAATTATTAAAATTTTGCATGCAAATTCGGTTTAAATTAATCTTACGTGCTATTATTTTAAAACAAATCGTGCAATTTACCGCGCCGCAACAAATATTAAAAAAATAGCGCGAAACCGTAAAAAAATGCGGAAAAAAATACTTATAAGCAACGGGCTTTGCAACGGTACAAATCGCCCGTTACCGTTAAAAAAGGCGAAATAAGCTTTTTAAATCCAGATTTTTTTAAAAGTTATAACGGGCGCGTAAAAAGCGCGTAAAAATCGAGCGAAATACGGGGGAAAAACTGGAAATGCGTTAAAAAGAAATTATTTAAAAAATTGTTAAAAAAGTTACAAGCTTGCGGAAGTGGAAAAAGGAAAATTTACGGTTATTGCTGTTATTATTATTATTATTATTATTGCTAATAATAATTATTAACCGGATTAAAAAAAAACCGGAAAGAAAAAAAGCAACGAAAGCTACGAAATGGAACCGGAAATAAAGCACGAAAAAAAAAAATAACGGGCAAGCTTAAAAATTTTACGAAAACGTGCATTCAATAACCCGATTTATACGCAACGGCCGAACCACCTTTACAACCGAATTACAATATTTTGCTTTAAGCATTAACTTTTTTTTTTATTAACCGTTAAAAGGTGCGGAAGCAAACCATACCACCAGTACATTACTTACGAAAAAAACGCGGAATTGCAAAAATTTCGAAAGGAAAGAGTTTTTATCCAGCCTTACACCAAATAGCTATCGGCTGGAGGCACGGTTTTTACTTTTATGTAGTTAACCCGAACCGTAAAGCTCTTTATGGGTTATATAGCTCGAAAGGGGTAAATAAATATATATATATACAACCCTTTCCCCCGCCGCATTATTTAGCATTAAAATTAACCAAGCTAAAACAATTAAATCCTCGTACGTAAATTGGTTATAAACCATTTAAGCTAGAAATTATATCCCGAATAAAAAAAACCTTTGTTAGCAATTTTGTTAAATCGCCCCGGTAAAAAACAGCTACGCCTTCCGCGCACCAAAACCCTGGGTGTTAGCAGGGCACGCCGGGCTTTGCTGAAAAAAAAGGAAAGCTTCAGACGTGGAGCCAAGTAAGACCCAGTGCACCCAGGTATTGGTTGTTAAACCCGATGTTACAGTTAGGCCTCTGCTCCCAGGTAAGGCACTTGATACTGAGCAGTAGTACGTGACTTGACAAACTGAGGAGATTCACAGATAACTTGGTGCGGTTTAAATGCTTGCCCAAGGGATACTTGGATTGACTGATGGCGGTGCATCTGTCGAGAACTATTTAGGACAGTAGGAATCCTTCCTTTTTATACCCTGTCCTGACCAGGGCGTCTGCCCTCTTGGATTGATACTTGCGATCCTGAGTATCGTGAGTATTAGTGATACTGTTGACACCTGGATGTCACGTGACGGTGCGGGGCAACCCCTCCTCCTGCCGGTCGTGCCCGTTGGTTTGTAACGCAGCATGGAGGGCAGCATGGAAAAGGCTCGTCGCTGCCTTCCCAGTCACGGCCGCAAGATGCGCAACGATTCAGTGCAGTTGCCGACAAGACACGGAGCAGAAACGCCAGGAGCACGTTTCTTGTCTCGTCCAGGGATAATGCATCTGGGTCGGAGCCCAAGTGGTGTGTGTTACGACCAGAGGAGCCCGCTCTCAGAGGTCACGTGACCTTTGATGCTCAGGACCGTCGCTACCTCGGACCGGGACGCCAAGTAGCCCTCGTGCCGTTTCTTTATTACCACAGCGGAAATTATTGCTAATTGCTGCTTGCGTGTCCTCTCCCACTAGAGCGCTGACATTTGTTTGGGTTGCGACGGGGAACCGAACCCCGTGTGCAGTGCGTGTACCTACACCCGCGTGCACCCAATTGCCAATTGCCGGCACCCATTACCTGCACCATCACCTGCACCATTGCCTGCACGCATTACAACCCATTACCGGCACGCCATTACGTTTCCGTCGCCATGTTCCAACAATTGGTAACTTATTTTCCACGGCCAGCGCTTATCCACCGCCCGGGCGCAATCCACATGCGCTCCGGCTGCTCCGGCTGGCCCGTGCTGGCCATGTGCACGTACCCTTAATCGCTGCCAGTCAAACTGGCTACAGCACACACGCGCGCACGCACAACGCATACTCCCCTTGGCCACAACGCACCCAATTCGGTCCTTAATCCCGAAGCTACGGATGCACGCTGCCTGCTTTTGTGCCTTGCCCTTGCTCCCCCCTTGCCTTTGCCCCCCCTTGCCCTTGCCCCCCTTGCCTTTGCCCCCCGATAGTTTTGCTCTGTTATGTACCTGCCTAGGAGTGTGCGGCCCTTGTCATGTACCTTGGGCGAGTTCCAGTTGGTGACACAGGCAACCCATTGGTCAACCAAGGCAAAGGCGGTGAGGAGGGAGCTTTGAGCCGTGTCATGGAGCTCCGGCACAACAACGGTGGGGTAAAGGAGTAGTCCCTAGTTCTCGTGGTTACGTAATTAGGTCGCTATTGTGGAAACCATGTTTAGTTAGACCTGGCTTCCCTCTTGTGCTCGATTGCATCATTCGTTACCAAGTTAGCAACCAGCTCTCACAATGGAGGCTCCCGCGCCAGTTGCCGTGTTCAAAAAGCGCGGGGCCAAAGCCAAGGCCAACATCAGGAAACGGGCGGCGACTCTAGCAGCAGCGACGGCCGCGGACGGCTCTGAAAGCTCAGACTACTCGTCTTCCGAGGACGAGACGGGCCAGCGCGTGAAGAGGAGGAAGAGGAACAAGCACGGCGCAGCAGCCACGACTTTTCCGGGGCCGGGCCCACGCGGCAGCAGCAGCAGCGACGACGACCTCTCGGCGACTGTCTTTAGGGCAGACAGGAGCGTGCCCATCACGGATTCCAACGACGCGACCAAGCAGAGCAACTGGTTCGACGAGGACGACGCCGACGACGCCCTCTCGGCCAAGAACCTGCTGGGCAGCACGAGGGCCAGGTCTGGCGATTCCCGACAAGCCGACGACGGCCTGTACAGGGGCCTGGCGAACAAGGCCAGCTTTGTGCAGAAAAACCCAGACGCGCCGTCGAGGACGGTGGGGCCGATCAAGGCGCCGACAAATATCCGCACCGTGACAGTTACTGACTTTGCGCCGGATGTTTGCAAAGACGTAAGTGGGGGGACTCTAGACGACATACTCTTTTCTCTAGACGCAACATACTCCTCTCTCCAGACGCAACATACTCCTCTCTCCAGACTTAAACTCCCTGTCTCCAGACCCAACATACTCCCTGTCTCCAGACTTAAACTCCCTGTCTCCAGACTTAAACTCCCTGTCTCCAGACTGCTGACCAAATTCCCCATCGCCGACACAGTACAAGCAAACGGGATTCTGCGGATTCGGCGACAACTGCAAATACCTTCACGCACGAGAGGACTACAAGGCTGGGTGGCAGCTCGACCGGGAGTGGGAGAATGTGGCTCAAGGCAAGAAGAACATGGGAGGGACGGTGGTGGCCAGCGCAGCAGATCGTGGCAAGAATAACAAGGCAAAAGACGACGACGACGACGACGACGCGCTGCTCGAGAGCATACCGTTCGCGTGCATCATCTGCCGCGAGTCGTACAAGCAGCCGGTGGTGACCAGGTGCGGCCACTACTTTTGCGAGCCGTGCGCCCTCAAGCGATATCGAAGGGACCCGACCTGCGCGGCGTGCGGCTCGGGCACAAACGGCGTCTTTAACAATGCAAAGAGGCTGCAAAAGTTGCTGGACAGGAAGCGGGAGCGGGCGGCCAAGAGGAGAGGGGAGGCGGGGGAGGAAGTTGGCGATGAGGAGGAGGAGGGGTGAAAATGTATACAAAGAATGAATGACTCTCAGTAGCAAACTCTCAGTAGCATCATCAATGCAGTGGATGATGATTATCAATGTAGTGATGATGATGATTAATGCAGTGGATGATGGCTGCAACCGGTGGGCGGTGAACAAACGGCTTCAAGCATATACCTAGGTAGGTGCAAGCAACGATGAAGCAACGATCTAGGCAGGTACGTTGGCAACGATAAGATAAGTGCGTTGGCGGGGTAGGCTCAGCTCACCATGTGACGAGCATCTGGTGCACACCCTCGACAGTGCATCATCTGGTCACAACTCGAGACGTCGCGTCATCTGGTGCATCAGTCGAGACGTCGCGTCAGGACTCATCCTCTGCCCGTCTGGAATTCATCATTCCATCATTCCATCTTTCCATCTTTTTACTTTGGCAGAATAGCAGCCCTTTCTTCAAAACACTTCTTCATCAGATCCCAGTAGCATCATCCCATCGACCCAAGCAACCGCAGCCATGAACAGCCTCTACTCGGTTGTCAACACGCTCCGGGACCGCTACGCGCCCGTGTCGCACACGTCTACGTTTCGCGAGACGGGCGAGATCACGCCCGAGGAGTTCGTCGCGGCCGGCGACTACCTCGCCTTCAAGTTCCCCACCTGGAGCTGGGCCGATGCCGACGCCGAGGCGCGGCGGGCGAGCCACCTGCCGCCCGGCAAGCAGTTCCTGGTGACGCGCAACGTGCCGTGCAACCGCCGGCTGAATGAGAACTTTGCGGGCGACGCCGGTCTGGAGGAGGCCATTGTTGAGGACGGCGACGAGTTTAGGAGTGGTGGTGGTGCGGACGGCTCCAAGGGTGTTTCGTCGGGCGGCGGCGGCGATGATGAGGATGGATGGCTGCGCACGGGCGGACTGGCTAGCTCTCAGCCGCTCAAGGCGCGCGAGGTGCGCACCGTCGACGACGCCGGAAACGCCGGCGAGCGCGCCCAGCCTGATGATGACGACGACATTCCGGACATGGAGGACGATGAAGATGACGAGGCCATCATCCGCGACACTGACGCCTCGGGACAAACCACGTTAGTATTATCTCTGCTGCTGTGCGGATCAAAGCGAAACATGCGTGAGGGGGCCGCTGTGCGGATTGAAAAGTACAAGACGGGATTTTGGCACTGACACAATGACACAGAGGACGACGGACCTACACGCTGTACATCATGTACTCCCCCTACTACCGGACCCCCCGTCTGTACCTGTCGGGATACGCGCCCAACGGACAGCCGCTGCCGCCGCAGCTGATGATGGAGGACATCATGGGCGACTACAAGGACAAGACAGTAACGCTCGAGGACTTTCCTTTTTTTGCTAGCCCCGTCAAGATGGCGAGCGTGCACCCGTGCAAGCACGCGCCCGTCATGAAGACGCTGCTGGACCGCGCCGACGCCGCGCTCAAGCAGCGCCGCGAGAAGCTCAGGTCGGGCGCTGCTGCTGCTGCCGGCCTGGAGGGGCTGACGGACGACATTAGCAAGCTTAGTGTTTCGGCCGGTGTCGAGTCGTCCAACGAGGACTGGGAGGACATTCAGCACGACGACGTGGCCGACCAGGAGGTGGCCATCAGGGTGGACCAGTATCTTGTTGTGTTTCTCAAGGTTCGTTATTTAATGCTGGAGGCTTTGGCTGGAGGCTTTGGCTGACCATTCGTAACAGTTCATCGCAAGCGTGACGCCAGGAATCGAGCACGACTTTACCATGGGTGTGTGAGGGGGCACTTTTCTTTACCTGAGCCGGAGGGGATACTTGACCATGGGCGGTGACTTTTCTCACTTGGGTTTATTTGTACGATAATGGGGCGTCACAGCAAAGACAGCAAACACAGCAAACACAGCTTGTAATTCTTTCCTAGACTCGAGATTGCCTAGTGGGATGCATGCAACAAGGCAGTTGTTCATGGCAGGCCCAACGCGGTGCAAAGTGATGAATGTTGAGAGCCGTCTCCGTCGAGGGTTACATGGACACGGGCTGTCTTGTTTTCTTTCTTCTTTCTTTCTTCCCCCTTCTTCTTTCTTTCTCCCCCTTCTTCCCCCCCCTCTTCCCCCCCCTTCATCCCCCCCCTTCTTCCCCCCTCCCGCACCGCACCGCCAGGTTCGACCACCTTCTCCGTCCCCAGCACCCAGCCGCCGCCATTGCATCTTTAACCACGGCCATACCGCGAACAAGCCGCGGCCCAGCATAAAGATGCAGATTGAAACGGAGGTGATGGTGCAGGTGATGGTGCAGGCGATGGTGCAGGTAATGGGTGCACCCGGTCATGATTGTGCTGCACAGCGACCATCTCAACGGCAGTTGGCACGATTAATGTGTCATGTACTGAACCCTCCTCGTCTTGCACAGGGCCACACTCACTTGCCACGACCTCGCCGGGATGCCGCCGTTTTCCGGATTGGCCACGGCGTAATACGCTTCCGTGTCTGGGGAGCAGTCCCAATCGTAGTCGCAGTCGGGGTTGGTGCAGCCCAGGTTGGTGCAGCCCAGAGAGCTCACGACAATCTTGAGGCGCCGTACAAAGATGCCATACCGGCGGGCTGCGAGCCAAGCCGAGTCGGCCACGCGCGCATCATCCGTGAGCACGATTGATCCGTGAGCACGATTGATCCAAATAGACGAGGTGCCACGATGGCTCCGAGGTCATGACAGGCGCTGCTCAGGCGCGCAAGATTCTGCAGGTCGAGGATCCCGTCGAACAACTCGCGGGGTAGAAACCGGATCAGCCACATTGTGTCGTGGTGGGACGTGTGGTTCTCCGGATGAGACAAGTGAGTAGACATTAAGGTGAATGGGGAACACGGATCGAGCCGTTGTTGACGATGCATACCAGCAGATGGCTGCCATCACATTAGATCCATTGCAGGCCTGGTCAAGAAATGGAGTCAGGCAGGGTCGTTTCCCGTCTGCCGGTGAGTCCGTCGCTTAGTCCGTTGCTCGACCATTGGTCCACAGCGAGTGGGGATACAGGCCAGAGGCCCCGCACAATAAACCCCATGATCTACAGCACTTTGGTGGGCCCAGCTGTCACTCTCGTGAGCTCGGCGGGAACGCGCCGCTTAATTACCACGCGCCTCGCATGCAACGACCTCTTGTTATAAATCAATAACGTATTCAGCCAAGCCTCCGGGGGTTCCCAATCACCTCGCCTTGCTTTCCGAGAGATTTGGCGTTTGCCGGATAGTAACGATGCCTGTGCCTTCCATAGCCCAGAGGAAAGATTATGTCTGACAGATCCATCAGGACGCTGCGCTTCCAGTTGTCCAGAATTGTCGTGTCATAAAACTCGAATCCGACCGTCCACAGGAACTCCATCGATGCCTGTATCTCTATTAAGTCCACAAAGTCGGCATCGTCGCCCCCTTGTTCCGCCTCAATGTACTCGTACACGATTGCAAAGTACTCCCGGGCGGCATCTGTAGGTCCACGACGGTATTTTCCAACTTGGAGGATGGGCGGCTTGACCTTGCGTTGCGCCGCTTCGTTAAAATACTCGCCGCTCAGCTTTAGCCAGCCAAAGCACTTTCGGGTCCTTGGCATCGAATTTACCGTGCAGGTAATGTCGATATCGACCGGAATGCGCGGCTTCTTGCGGGCTTCCTGGGAAAAGGCGTAGAGATTTTCGATGGCCTCGACGCCATCCCTGGGCTCGTCGTACAGCCTGATCCTGCTTATTTGACCGTCGCCGCCATCCCCGAGGTCTCCCAGCGAGGCCTCCATCATCTGCAGGACGGCGGCGTTCTGGAACTCGCGCTGGGCCGCCCAGTAATACATATTCTCAGGTGGCTTATCGTCCCAAAACTTGGACAAGATAAAAGTTAGCGTCCAGAATAACACAAACGCACAGCAAAACGCACAAAGGCTGATATATTCGTACCAGCTTAACCACAAAAGGGCCCTGGTCACCAAACGCGACTTTCCAGCAGTAGCCATCGTATCCACCGCCAAGGTGCTCAAGCCACCGAATATCTTTCAGCTCCAAGGGGCACTTGCGGAGCAGCGGCTTCCTCAGGTCCGCCCACGAGTAGCGGGCCGGTCCGCTCATGGGCTCATCCGTGTGGAACGGGATCCGCTTCGGCCTCATCCAACGTTCATGCTGCTCTCGAACTGCCGGCAGTTGGGCGGCATTCGGGGGGGCAGACATTGCCGGAGCGTTCGTTTCTTTGACGGCAGCCATGATGGGCCAACTTGTCGGATGCGCGAGCTGGAGGGACCTTTGTGGAGAAAGAGGGCGGTGGAGTGTTGACTCCAGGCACTCGTGGTCCGTGCGCCGATTATTCCATATCTAGCACCTTTTCAATTTAGGCACCCGCGACTTCAAACCCAACCTCATTGAGCACCCACCTTCTACTTCAACCACGCCTCGGATATGGCCACTCACCAACAAACGCCCGCCTCCAAGAGTGATCTTGACGCATTGCGGGCCGATACCAACTGTCGCTTTGATGGCGTCGACCGCCGCTTCGATGCGGTCGAGAGCGCCTTGGACGCATTGCGGACCGATGCCGACCGTCGCTTCGAAGCGGTCGACCATCGCTTCGACCTCCTCTCACTGGAGCTTCGCCGCCTCGACGTTCGCTTCAGGAACAGCCGCTTAAAAAACCCCTTCCAGCGAATCGAACCGGCACCCGGCTTTGACCTCCAAACCGGAATCGCATATCCAGACCCCAAATTATTCCCCCGCAACGCACGCGCCTTTTACGCCCTCAGAGACCCGACAACGGACCACCAGCGGCAAGTTTTGGAGCACTTGCAATCTTTTTACGAGCTCCGGCGCGGCCCAGTGGATGGTGGTGGTTCCGACGACGACGATGACGACGACGACAAAGCCTTTGCATCCGCCGGCACCCCCGAGCACACCGTGGACGAGCTGCAAGCGATTCTAGGGCTAGAAGAGGACAAATTCATCAAGTTCAAAGAGCGGGCAGAGAAATTCGGCGCCAACGCGCCAGCCACCACGGGCAAGCATCCACATGTCGCGCCCGACGCCGGCGGGGACCGGCAGCGGCAACGGGTCCAAACTGCCGTCAATCCCCTCTCGGTTTATCCGCGGCAACGGGTTTTTATGCAGCAACAGGTCCAAACTGCCGTCAGTTCCCCTGCGGCAAGCTTCTCTGACGCAGGCAGGGAATGGATGCAGCAACGACGGGGGGTTCAAACTGCTCCCGTCCCTCCCCCCCCCGCGGAAGACGACTTCTTGGAATACCCACCAATAACGTGGGGGGACCGCTCGACGCCCGAGTCGCAGCGACTCACCATCCAAGGGCTGCATGCGGCCTTGGCAATCCACCACCCGCCGCCATGCGAACCTTCGGACGGCACCAGCCCAACCAACGCCGTGTCGACCCCACCCGGCTTCTTACGCGACACAGCTGGGGGCGTAGCAGACTGAGATCTGTGCTTCATTCCTGTGCTTCATTTCCTGTCTTCATTTCCTGTCAGGGGCTGGATGATTGGTTATATTGTAAGGCACGTGTTGTAGCTTTTGAAAGCTGCGTACAAGGTTGGAAACGGGATCCAAGATTGGAAACAGGATCCAAGATTGGAATTTAGTCTGATAAAATGCATTTATTTCGCTACCCTCATGCATCCCGAAACGTATCCTTCGCCGTCGGCTACTAGGTTAGGGCAGAGCCACATGGGCACGGCCGCCGGACGTCGCCCCCGCCACCCAACGCGACCCCGCGCACCATGTCCCTGCGCAGCTGCCCGTCGTCGTCGTTGTCGCTCATCCGGTCGTCCAACATACCCCCGCCGCCCCTGCGTTGCTGGTGCAGGCGCTGCTGGTGAATTTGGTGCGACGAGCGCCCGCCGACGCTGGCCGAGTCGTCGCTCATGACTGGATTCGACAAAGCGGCAACCGAGCCATGTCTCCTCCGTCTTGCTCCTCGGGCGAGGGGGTGTGGCCGCGTCTGAGAGGCGTGGATGCGGTGGAGGAGGATTGGTCACACAGGCCTGAGAGGCGTGGATGCGGTGGTGGAGGAGGATTGGTCACCCAGGCGTGGATGCGGTGGTGGAGGAGGATTGGTCACCCAGGCCTGAGATTTTCTTGTTTTCCCTTCTTTTTGATGGGAGCACAGCAGGCAGAAGTGGAGCCCAGGGGCCGTCAAAGACAACGATGTGGCCGTGTTCGCGCCTGCTGCGGAAGCTGCTTCCTATTTCAGCTGCAGTCGAGCGTTCCAGCCCACAGTGGCGCGGATCAGGTCCCAGTCGCCGTCCTTTCCCGACCCAGTCGGTGATGACGATGCCGGTTGCCCCGAGTCCCCAACGCCCAGCTGGTTGGGGTCGCCGAGGCCCGACGCGCCGCGCTCGAGCTGCCAGCGCGCAAAGGCCATGGCGCCAGCCGAGCTCGTTCCGGGCACCGGCCGGCGCTGGTAGATGGGGCCCGAGATGGTGCTGCCAGCGCGGTAGATGGGGCCCGAGACGGTGCTGCCAGCGCCCTCGCCGAAGCCGACGAGGCTGGCGGACCCGTCGTCGTCGTTGTCGCTCATCCGGTCGTCGAACATACTCCCGCCAGTCGA